ATAGACGCATAAGAAAATGGCCACGGCAAGAAAATTTTTACAAACATACAGAATTGTGTTAACATTTTGTAACACCTAAAATATTAACAAATCAATAGCCGCATACAGCAACATAGATTTACCTTTTTCTGCGCGCGTATATTATAATAAGTATGTCGGTCACTGTGGTCGGTGGTGTTTATTTTTATAGTCGCCCTCTCAGACGAATTAAATCAGTACGGACCCTCCTCGAGTACGGAAATCTAAACGACGTAAAAATAAAACAATACGATGAAAAAAAAACCTGTGGATTACGTTTGGGTATAACTCCTTCCTCGCGGTCGTATGGGAAATAGCTTATTTGTATTTTATTTACGGGCGAGAGATTTAAAGAAGGAGCAATGTATTTTCCGAAGATCAAGGTGACTCTTCGCTCACTCAATCACCTATTCGAAGATTGGGACCATACCGTACAAAATATATCCACTATGTTCGCTGTCATCCGAAGGGACTGGTATTGTATGGGAGCGTTCGGTATTTCGAATAACGAAATTGTCAAATTTTACAATGATGTGCTTAATAGTCTATAATAATATACTCATATCATACATATATACTATCGTACAATAGTGTGAGGGCCCGTGGCAAGCGCGTCGTGTTTTTTTTGAAAATCTCAACACTTCAATGTAGGCAGAATCGCTTTCGTTTCCCAGCACCCCAGAAATACCGGATTTCATTGGATACTTTTCTCTACTTGGCTGAACACTAGGTCGATGTAATTTATTATTATAATATTTTTATGGATTATTTTCTCGTACATTGGATCACTGTAAATGTATCATACGCTATTCTATCCGCCTTATGTCCGCACTTAAGGTAGACTAGATCATACACTACGTGTCTAGATATAATATACAAGATAATATATATAAACATATGAACGATTATGGAGATAAATCCGTAACTATTATTGCCTTATACATTAAAAACAATATTCATAACTCTCGCGGTTCACAATCTGCAATATACCTACAATTATTTACACAGTATATCATTATACAAATGAAATTTAAAAGTAAATTTGACGAATATTCCTGATAAATTGTATATAATAGAGCTGTACGAGTAGGTCGTCCATTTCGTGAATGTCATGTAATGTGATAGCTGGCTATCGAAATCGTCATCACTTCGATATACGTCGCTCGATGAATGCATAAAACTATTTAAGCTCCTATATAATATATTATATAATATGAATCATCTATTATTTATTATTATTATATGTGACCACCGAGCACATTGTTCCCACACAATATGTCATGATTTATTCACGCGCCTATTATAATATAATATGTATATTTTAAAAGGGACGTTCCAATTATCCGTCGGACGGTCGTTTCCAGAGTCGTTCCGATGCGACGGCATTGGTGGGAAACCCGATGGAAGAAAAATAAACCAACATATTAGTATATAATATCTATATGGTAATGAACAATTATTGTGCAGCCTAAAACCGATTTAAAATCAATTTATTTTGTTTGAATTTTTGTCCGTGCAGAGGTGCAGTGCCTTGACGTGCGGGCAAGGTGAAACAAGGCAACAATATTGTCCGCTATCCCTGGTCGGGTCTAGTGATCGGCTGTATATTATTATTTTAATTTAATTTGTATTTATTCTTTCAACTTTTTTTTATATAATATTTACTTATGTTAATTAATCCTACATTCCTACCTATATAAAATAATTTACGAGATTCAAACGTGATATGAACTTTACATCTTTAATAAAAAGACAGAGTAGATGATGTTTTGAGCAAAAAGATAAAATAACGTACAACAACGAAGTATGTGATACAATATTAAGTATAAAACAGCACACTATCAAAAAAAATGTTCAGCGAACGGCACCTATATAAACAGGTGATTAGAATATTAATAGGAATCTGAAATGTTTTATTATCCAAATTATAACATTGTATCAATGGTTTGCCTATAATTATTATTCATATGCTTTCGTTACTTAATTTCGAATATTGTAATGTACATAATAATATCTATATAGTAGATGACATAATATTATTATACTAACAGTAAAGAGGTACCTTCTTTATGTCTGTTGCTATTAAATTGCCTATATAATGCGCCGTGTTACAATAAAATAATAATTTGTTCAAATCAAAATGTACAATTAGTAATTTGTGATGCTATATTTGAAGACAAATTATAATTAACGATTTTTAATTGACGTAAATAGTAAAGATAAAAAACAAATATATATGAATATGATATTATGATCGCTTCAGAACTGATGAAGATGTTTATATTATACGATATACCTATTCATAATATAATCTACTTCTATGACCACACGCCGAAAGCCTCAAATTAATTTATGCTCATTATACAGACATAAATATAATTTGATAAAATCTACACCATCCAACAAATTTTCTATTCGATTCCAAGTTATACAAAATGTGTGTTTACAGTCAACATAGATGTATTAATTATTATTAAAATACAACACGTAGCTGTGCAGCTAATGTAGCTGTGCTACAAATATTTCTATATATTACTAGTATTTATTTTTCCTGCCTATACAAATAGTCGGAGGTTTTTGAAAATTCTAGGTATTATGTGAAATTTAATTAAAGCTTTAGTCACTTATAAATAAAATAATAAAATATTTTTTATCTTAATATTATGCTAAAAACATTTGAATATTAGTATACTATAATATAATATAAATATATTTTTTTTCATTAAAATAATTTAATATCATTTATAACTGATATGAATTAGATTTTTAAAAAAAAAGAAATTTTCGTTCATACTTCAACTATATATAACCAAAAATGTATGTATCGACAGAAGAAACAATTCAACTGATTAAATGGATCAGGCCTATATAAATAATAATATATACAAGGTGAGTCGAGTCACCAAGAATTCGTTTTTATCCTTTAAAAAAACATTTATTGTGGCCTGGTGTAGAGCGGTGGTTGGTTTCAGTTCTGAAGTCAAGCATCAGCCAGTGCCACTAGTTCCCGGATGGGAGACCGACAAGGGTTCTAGTGACAAATCCTTGCCACATATACACACGTGTTCTAACCAACCATACCCTCCCCCACAGTAACAATCCCACTAAAAATCCTACGATCATAACAACTAATGACCATAGTAGCTAGTTCATGAAAAAAAAAAAAAAAAAAAAAAAAAAAAAAAAAACATTCATTTAAATGTTTAATTTTGGAATTTTAAAGTGTATTTGAACACCACATTTTCAGATACTCAGGTTATTTTTTATGTAATTTATGGATTGACCTGTGAAAATGTATATTTTTGTTTTTAAATTTAAACCACTATTTTTACTGTAAATTATTGAGCACATGGATGTTTTTATAAATGTTGATGAATCTAAATCAAAATTACAACAATTAGTTTCTAAATTATAAATTTTACATACAAACAAAACAAAGTATAATAAATCCTCAACAACTATTTTTCATTAAATTTTAAAAAATATATGAACTACTCAGGGTTATTAATACTTTTTATAATCGAACAATATTATAGCATAACAAATATGAACATCTTATATTAATGTTAATTAATACATTTATTATAATCACCTTTATATATTTATTCATAATTTGTTTTTAATTTTTACCGATACATGACAATCATTAAATGGCATATAAACTTTAAGTATATGAAAAAATTCATCATTAAATTAGGGTGAGATGCTTTGAGTATTACTCCGTAATTTTCATTGCTCATGAGTCATGAGTCTCTATACTATATACCTAAATGTTTATGCTGCACGTTCAACTGTGGCAGAGGAATTAGATAGATGTATAATATTGTTGACGTAAAAATGAAACATATTAAACCTTAAATTAGTCAATTAAACAAAATCTAATACTAAATTGAAGAATAACACAGTTAAAAGAATATGACATTTGTACTTCCATTTCCGAGACATGGACAATACATATTGATATAACTTTAGTTATTAACGTTTACTAACAAAACATTTAATACTGTAGAAGTAACCTCTCCTTCACCACCATTTCACTCTTACGTTATAATTTTTTATCTTAAAAATCATCATGCCTATAAGGGACGCAATGAAAAAATATGATAATATGGACGTTAAGTACCGAGATCGTTCGTCAAATTCGACGTTTGTGGAAATATAATTATGGTGAATTTTAATCGATTAAAAATAAATCAGTGATGAGTGATGACAGTTTGTGGTTCAAATTTAGTTTCCTCGTTGATATCGCTTCACGCGCTCGGACGTATATAACAATATAATATAATATAATATTATATTATCATTTCGTACATATCAACTATAAATTATAATACACTCGTATGGCCTAGTCGTAAAACTGATGGGGTATGCCACTGGGGATGTACGGTATACATGTTTTGTAATACCGACGTACGGGGTGATCGTTTTATCGTTAAACAAAAAATATAAGGGATATTTTAATTTTTTTGGAAACAATACTATAATAATTATTGAAAAATATAAAATAATGTTTTTTCAAACAATAATTGTATTTAAAATTATTCCTTATATATTTCCTGAAATATAAGTAATATTTTTCTACCGGCAAGGAGCTGCAGAACGCGGGGTGTAGTAACTAAATATACTAGTAATAGACTATATAATATAATAACTAAACTATAAATACTAAACGACGTTTGACATTATACGCGTATATAAATAAATATAATAAGTATAATATACAATATACGGGAGTGGGCCGTCGGGTTTCTATTTTTACTTTCCACTCAGGTTATTTTCATGAATAAGCTTCGAATCGCTCTGTATAACATAATAATTATAAATTGGCCGGCTCGACGCGTCCTACGGGTTTATTAGGTCTATACCAGCCAGTATACGAAATATAATTTACTACTCGTTTAATGTTAATATACTTTTACATGTACATATATATTATATACATATCTATAATATATATATATTTGGGAGCTGTACATATATTATTATTTCGTTATATGAGACCGGTCGGTGCACTCACTGCAGGACGATTGCAACCCGTCATTAACACCACCGGTACTGGTACTGCTCTCTCTCCTCCGGCAGTGGTCCACGACGACGTCATCGGGACCCACGACCGGGTTCAGTTCCAGTATGGTGACATTGTAACGTTTCCTGGCATTCTTAGGACAAATATCCCCTGTAAAACCAACCAACCTGTAGTCTCGACACGCATATACGACCGTCAGAGTACATTTTCTACACTGCACAAATTCAATATATATCGGTACAGCAATAATTATTGTACCTTATTAGTTTATATATGTTAAAGGTAATAAATATATAACGCGATGTCTACGACCAGTTGCGTGATTCCGGGAAAGGATAAATGAGGAAATCGCATCCAGAAAGTAGTTTATGGAGGGGATAGGTATAATTTTGCTACTAGATATTTTTAAGCAGTTAAAAATAGTATATCCTTTATCAAATATTATGTTTTTATTGAATATATTATTATTTTATAAAGACTTTAATATTAGGTACTATAACAATTAATAGAGTTCGTTAGGTATTAAATTTGTTGAAGTTCTAGTCAAAAACTATTACTTTTAGACTATTTTAGAATATCATTAACAATGATAATATTATAATATAATTCTTGATAAATCCCTCGTCGATAAATTTACAATAATATGGATTAATATAGATAGTAGATATATTGGAAAAGATTAAATTCATACCACCCATCAAGACAAATGGGATATATTAATTAAACTAAAATCATAAAAATGTGTTTGATTATATAATACAGACAAATATCATTACGTGAAAAAGATAATTTCCTTGCCTACAATGCTTAAAAGAAGTAATTAAGAACATGGATGGACAGTTTGAGCATTCTAGCCGTATGCTACAAATTTAATGTTCTATTTTTATGGACTTGGATAAAATGATTGATGAGTTTATAGCGAATAGCATTGGAGGAAACAGTAAACTCTCATTTAAATTTTTAATTTTTAATAGTACCTATATTAATAATTCTTTTTAAATAATAAATTTTATATTTGAATTTAAAATAAGCAAAACTAATGCTCTATACCTATATCCACTTTAAATATTTTCAGAAACCCCTTAAATATATGGTTTAACTAGTTAAAGATATAATATATAATATATAATAATATTATATATTATTATGCAGCTATAAATAGTAAATAGTAGTTAAGTTAATAGTGGCTTTAAGCGTCAGGCAAGAGCTGGTATTATCAAATTATTAGAAAATTAGCCTATTTGATAGCTCATAACAGATGAGTACGTTTTTTCTTGGCTTTTAGTTTTAGTTTATTCATGATTCTGAACACTCTGATATTTTTCTGTTGTTTATAGTATAATTGCAGAATAAAGAACAATTAAAGAAATTACTCAAACCATCTAGTTTTGGTTCTTTTCGTATGTTAGTTCATAACATTGTGTATTGATTGTATATAATTTGCTTCAATAAAATTCAATCTATATATTGAAAAACGGTTAAGATACGAATAAAGAAAGAGATTATTTGCTTTTAAAATTAATGTTGGTAATTTTTCTAGTGAAATGAAATAAATTGTGTGTGCAGGTGAGGAGGAAAGGTATTAATATAAAAAAAAAAAACAACTCCCTCCGTGTTTTTCCAATTCTGTTTACATTAGTAATCCACTGCTTACATTAGTGGACGGGTGGCATATTATAATACATCGTTTGATCTAATGTCACGATGAGCTAAACAATAATTAATATACCAATATATATTCATTTTTCGATCGCACGTCTTGAACGCGTCTCTACTGCAGTGCCTCTATCCGAGATTAACGGTTTCGTAAACCGCTTCCGACAACTGAGTCGATCGGTTCGAAACGATTCGTGAGAGTACAAATGATTTATGATATATAACGTGGTGACGATATTCCAGGACGATCGGAACAAATGTGGTTCTTCGTCGGAATGAGATGTGTTTTTGTTTTAATTAGCATTTAAAATGAATTCATGTATTTTATACTGACAGGAACGACGAAAGTTTTACACGACTATTTCAAAAACTTTCTAGACACGTTGTTTATGCAAGTATAGAAAAGTATTTATTTTTTTTTTTAATAATATAATATGTGTGTTGCATCGTGTTGTATCATCAACGGCATTTTATATAAGGACACTAAAATATCAATAAATAAATTAACATTTTTAGTACTTTTATTTGTAAGTAATTTATGGTTAATTTACTTTTATCGTTGTACTATTACGGGTTTCATCTTCTAAGTTTTCAATAAAGTTTTGATAAATCAAATGTCATAGACGAGAATCAGTTTAAAACCTTTATGTCCCCCGTCCACATAACTGTTGAGTACTGCACAGGATTTTCAATTAAAAAAAGTTATTAAAAAAAACACTGGCTGAGAGCCATCCTCTTCTTGATATTAGGTACTTAATAGACTCTCGTTTAATTTAGTTCGTATGTTGAAAGCATAAGTCCTTCCCCGGTAAAATAAAAGTATAATTGAACGGTAAACACTAAACATGTCTGTGTATCTACCACTGTGTACAAAGGTTAAAAAAATAATAATTAAAACATAAAAGGCAAATATATGTAGTTTTCTTTGGGAATATAATTTATTGTTCTATAGGAAAACAAAAACGATACAGTACGTCTGCAATGGAAGGAACAAAAGCATTGTTTCCATTATTATCGTTTTTATTATTACTTTTATAGTTTAGATTTTTTTGCATTTGCATTCAAACAAAACTGTTTATAAAAATAATATGTCATTTAATCGTGTACCAACGGCCTAAACGATTTGTCGCATTGCAGTATGCGTGTGAGTGTAAAACAATTTATATTCTGGTTCTTAACAGTGGCACCAAGACGAATAGCTAATGCGCATCAGACTTAATGAAAATGTTTCCAGCCGTGAATTAAAAAATAAAAATAGGAAAGAGAGACGGCTCGAGAGTGAGCTTGATTGTTGTATAATTTAAATCGTGATGCGAATACAAGGTAATTCCATTAAACAAAATTCGTCTCCCAAATGTCGTCCGCTCAAACCCGCTGAACATAATCAGATGCAATTTATTGCGATAAATCTCACCTCTGTCAGGCAAACGGTGTTGTTCGAAGTGCAGTGTCAAAATGTGCATTGCGATCATTACGTGTCGGACGTAGGTACGTATATTATTATAATACATGTGTGTATATGTATATTATCAGTAGCGAACGAATACAAACACTGAAGCGCCGTCTGTTACCTTTGGTCCAAGAAGCAGGTGACAATAGCTGCTGAGCCTCTTCCAGAACGACGGGATCCATAACGACTCCATCTTTCATCGTTGGCACAGCAGTCTGGAGTCAAATCATAATTCACCAGCCGTCACTTTCCGTCTCCGATTCATCTGCAACATAAATTCCATCATTGCATCACTCAATATCGTCGACGGGCAAGAGAATATTATATTAATTATAAGAGTTAATAATGATACACCGTTCAAGAGTACGATATTTCAAAAGCAACTAATGACTATTAGCAGTCATCACACAAAAAAATTAAATCTTGTCCGAAACTCGAATCACCGTTGATCTGTTCAAACCCGGGGCTTATCTTAGACATTAAAATACATTTAATATTTCAATGTTCAGCTGTATTTTACTACCATGGATTAACTTATAAATACAGAAATGATTTTCTCGGTTATATTCCCACCCCGGATAAGTAATATTTAATACAAGAAATAATATTAAGTGATACAATAACAACACATTAAATTTATAGATTTCCAACGAAATATGGATTGATTATAGAATTTATAGAAACTATGCGAATTGACAACCAGCCATAGGCGTAGAGTGATGAATTTATACAGAGGAGCTATTACCTATTATGTTTCTCGTACATAACATAAATTCTAAAAATGTGACTAAAAAAATTACGGGATGGCAGGGCTGAGGATAGCCTACCTAGTTACCATCCTAGGTAGTCAAATAACACCCATTTGTCGCCCTTCTATAATACCTGCCAAGTTACATGGTTTAACCAACATCAATCCAGTTGGTTTGATATGACAAGCGTTAAAATTATAAACATTACAAAACCTATAAAGTAAGTACATACACACAACAAACGGTAAATGTGTGCATTTTTAAAGTTGGCAATTATAATAACTGTGCTTTATAATAATATATACGTTGGTATAAATTAAAACCATACATTTTTCGATTAGAATTCCCAAACATGGTAATCCATCAATTGTGGACCTTTGACAAATAGAGACACATAATGGCACACATGGGACGTAAGACAGTAAGACACTCCATAATGATTGGGAGTTGAGTTAATGCAACGAACGAGATAAATCGTATTCTAATAGTAACTACTCATCTGTGTAGCATGCTGTGATTTCAATCACTTATGAGTTATGGTGATATCAAATTTATTATAAATGAATACTTTATAAGAATATAAGATTTGAGTGATAGAAAAAGATATAACATCATTTATTAGTCAAAATTTAAAAAACTTTAATAGTACAAAAGTATACAACACAATTTTTATTAAATTTTAAAATCAAGTTTAAAAAATTACACAACATGTAACTAAGTATATCATAAAAATGTATTTTGTAACTATTCTGTTTGTTATCATTTTGAGTCATTTTTTTAAAACAATAGATTTTATACACAGTAATAAAATAATAAAAACTTTGTCGTACACTTTCAAACGATAAAAATCTCATTTTATTATTTTGATGACATGATAATTACAATGACTTGAATCTCATCATATATAAAACCATATCAAAAATATAGGTACACAACAATAATAATCCATTGCCTCTATAATAAAAAATTGTCAACTTTTTTATTCACTAGTCAAATTTAAGCTATACAGTAATCATTTGACTAAGGTAATTATAATGTACATCGTAATAATATTATTGTTTTCTACAAACAATTAAAGTAATTAAAAAATGTGTCAGGTAATTGATTTTTTAGTGATAAAAAAACTACTGTGCCATTTGTGTATTATTTATAAATAATCCTAACCTGAATAACACACTAGAACGATTACGTAAACACGTTTGCGTATTGAAACCGTATAATAAATTCAATACAGCTACTGAAATTATAATTATTAATAACATTATTAATCAATAATAATAAGTGAAATTGAAATTGCGGAAGAAAGTCTTCAAATGCTAACATGAAATAACTGTACCTATCCGAGAAACCCAACGCTGGATACGAATTATATTTTTACTGCAAAACAATTGTACCTATAATTAAGACAAAACGTCTTGTCACTGTTCCTATTATTACTCTCATGAATACTATAAATCGTCCATTTCTAAGGGCCATTGGGTCATGTGATCACAATATAAAAGATACCAACGTTGAAATTTATTATTTATTTTTAAAAGCTAGTAATTTTTTTCTCCAATTTTAGTAGAAAATTATTTAAATTAAGTAAAAAAAATTATAATCCAATTCAATATTATAGAATTCATATACCTTACTTAAATGCCATATTGTTTTTAAGTGCTAATTAAATTATCATAATTATTGTAATACGTATAGAAATAAAAGTAGTCATTTTATTATAACTTTTTTTTATTAAATGTTGTGCTTTTAAATACTTGAATGGGTAAAATAGAAAATGTTTTCCATCGGTTTTGTTAACCAAATGGGACAAAACATTAAAACAAGACTTAAGAGTAAAAAAAAACTATTTATATGCAGGCTTTTTATATTTAAACCATTTTTAAAAAGTTATTATTCCTCGGGTATTAAGTTACTTAAATCAAGCCCCAATGTAGTAGAGAGGAGAGACAAAAATCTGTGGCTACCGCTCCCAGTGATAATATTTATCTATGGTTCTATAACTCAAAGACATAATATTTCAGAACATAGTAACAAAATGATTAACATTAAATTAAAATAGTGTGTTTACTGCTTAGTATTTTTACCTTATTGTAATATTATTATATTAAGATCAGTATGATAAATTATACAACTTATATCATAATTCATAATAAAATATATTATCTTTCTATACATTTGAGTTCTGAACATGAATAAAATGAAAAATATTTCGATTTCCAATTTGATAATGTTCTACCATCCTAAAAATATCCTACTCAAGATGTTAGCAGAATTTCTTTTTTTTTTTTTAATATTTTTAATAATTTTGTATCTCGTAAGTTGGAAGTCAAATACCTATAGTATTATTATTGGCTTATGGTAAGTTTATGTTTAAATAATGTTTACTTCATATGATTCTAACACTGCTACACCATATATTATCAAGGTTGGCCAACCGCTAAAAAATAATGTATCACATAGAAAACAAATATTGATTTTTATAACTTCCTCTCAAAGTTACAGTGGGTCTTAAGACATTTTTACGATGGACTGCATATTATTATAAATGCACAACTCTTTCAGGCGATAGTATTATTTATTAGGAAATACAATATCACTAAGTCAGAGCTTAATATTGTTTTCTATATGCAAACTTAGTTTCTCTATTAAATATATTCTATCTTGTCGTAATGGGTTCAACCCGTATTGTAACATAAAATAAACACTGAATTATTGATGGGCGACGATGCCTGCGATGCTTATGATCATTTTTAGAATTTATAAATGTTTAAAATCCAATAATAACGCTATACTTTTTACGCTACTTGGGTTTGATAAAGTGACTGTAAATAAATTATTTTTTCTAATTTTTCGAAATATATAAATTTGATTTAAGCGCATGCACGAAATAATGTTGTGATGCTTATGTACAACGACTATGAGTAGTACACTAGTACACTAGTAGAACCATAACGGAATTTAGCAGTTGAGCAGTTCTCGATAAACTATAAATGTAATGTTTAGGTTGTATGATATATTTTATATTTAATATCTAAGATTTTGAATTTTTTATTTGTGTATTTGTTTTTGAAATGCGAACTTAAGCACATAATGTATTATTCAAATTTATACTTGGAATTATTTTTTTGTAGATTTACTATAGATATGTATAAGAAACTGTCATCCATTATACAAGAAAGCGTTTTCAGTTAAAAATTACCGTTTTGGAACCATAATATGCCATAGTTCAATCTATGCACAAACGATATATCATATATGTTGCCGTTAGTAATTTTAAGGTTTTTTTTTCATATGAATTAAAAATATTATTACAGATTGACTGATTTTGCAGAGTGAAACTGACTAAATTCTTTATCACTGACACTTTATAGGTAGGAATACATAATTTCAGTCTGTGAAGTGTTTAACAAACATATTTTTTTATTTTTTCGTTAGTTTTTAGGGTTATTTATTCGATTATTTATACAGATGCTCAGTCACGCCGACATCATATTATACATATTGCATTACATATGTGAATTGTAGATTGAAATGATATAGTATGACTACATCTAAGGACCACTGTGGTTTTATTTTCCATTTGTCACGTAAAACACTGCAGCACAATACAAATCCTAGTATTTATAACCAACGGTCATCTTGTACAGCTACCACACGGATATTATTATTAATTGGGTCCGAACACGCCTCCTCCAAATGGTCGGATTTTTCTGACGAAACCGCTTACCGATCCTCGGCCATTTCGGAGATGTGCCTCGCGAACCACATAAATCATTCGCACGGTTGAGCTCGCGGCGAAAGGCGCATTTCACGGAGAGCTAATAGTCGCCCGGCCACCACGCCAATATCATATATAATAATATGTTAGGGACCGTGATAAACGACTTGAAATCCTCCGAAAATTGGTCCCTGAGGAGTGTGTTCTAATCACGGTACATTTGTCTTGCGGTGTCCGCGGTGGAGACTGCAGCCGCGCGGGACAACGCCGTCCGGCAAATGATTAAAATTCTTTTCGGCCATCGCGCCCGAAGATTATATTGTTGCGATCGTTACTCCTATTGACGAGACGATATTATTATTACTATTATTATTATTATATGATGACCCCCGATCGCAATAAAACCATTATACTATGTTATTGTTTGCGCTAGTACCTATACCTACGTTATTCGCACCACGAGACCCGCGGGCCGATTTCAAATGCAAACGCCGCTGCCGTCTTGTGTTTAATTAGGTAATAAAATGTACGGTGTGCTGCTTAAACGGTCCTAAAAACACTTAAGGAGTTAAGCATATGCTATAATATAAACCGTATAAGACGAGACGGTCGTTGGAGCGTTTGGAAAAAGGTATGTTATATAATGTTATGACCGTAATACCAAAATGCACTCAAACATTTCAACTACCTACCTGGCCCTCCTTTACAGGCCACATCCTGAATAATCTTTAAA